AAGCAAAAAGCTCTCTTAAGACCTTTGCAACCTTATTGTTGCAAAACATACTGATGGCATTGGTTACACAAAGATTTCTAAACTTCTGAATGTTCCAGTGAGCACTGTTGGGGCCATAATCAGGAAGTGGAAAGAACATAATTTCACCATAAACAGGCCATGACCAGGTGCTCCTCACAAGATTTTTGACAGAGGAGTGAAAAGAATTTTCATAAGAGTTGTCCAAGAGCTACGAACCACTTGTGGAGAGCTTCAGAAAGACCTGGAATTAGCAGTTACAATTGTTTCAGAGAAAACAATAAGTAATGCACTCATCTGCCATGGCCTGTATGCACGCTCACCACGCAAAACTCAATTGCTGAAGAAAAAGTATGTTGAAGCATGTTTAACCACTTGGCAACCGTGCTATAGCAAAATGACAGCTACAGGATGGTTGTCCAGTTCTGGGAGGGTGTCAGATGACGTCCTCCCAGAACGCACCCTCCCACGTGCCTCCAGCTGTGCGCACCTGGTGATCTCTGTGATCAGGTGATGTGGTAAAAGGCCAAACACAGCGGCCTTTTACCACGTGATCAGTTTGTGTCCAATGACACAGCAGATCACTGGTTAAATGCAGTTGCTGGTTATCAGGTGCACTTTCCTCATGCTGTCACAGTGTGAGGAAAGTACTGCCAATAACCAGCAATTGTCAGAAAACAGATCAGTACCGATCACATGATGATCAGTTCCCAGCAGTGCCATCCACCTGTGCCCAGCAGTGCCACCCACAAGTGCCAAGCAGTGCCACCCAACAGTGCCCAACAGTGCCACCCACCTGTGCCCAGCAGTTCCTAGCAGTGCCACCCACCTGTGCCCAGCAATGCCACCCACCAGTGCCCAACACTGCCCCCATCAGTGCTGCTCAGCAGTGCCACCCATCAGTGCCCAGCAGTACTGCCAGTCAGTGCCCAGCAGTGCTGCCAGTCAATGCCGTCAGTTAGTGCCATCCATCAGTACCCATCAGTGCTGCCCATCAGTGCCGCCTATCAGTGCCACCTATCAGTGCCCATCATTGCTGCATATCAGTGCAGCATCTTCATTGCCAGCTCATCAGTGTCGCTCATCAGTGCTGCCTATCAGTGCCGCCTATTTTTCATCATACTGTACTGGAAAACTTCATATCAAGGAAGGATGAATGGAAAAAGGCATTCTTGAAAAAATTTGCTGCCATCTACCAGGATGATGAAGATGAAATGAGGGTGGACATTTCAGCAAGACAATGATCCCAAACACAAAGCCAAGGAAATTCAATTGGTTTCAAAGAAAGAAAATAAAGCTGCTAGAATGGCCTAGCCAATCACCTGACTTGAATCTAATAGATAATGTATGGAAACTAAAGATCAGAGTTCATAGAAGGCCCATGGAACCCTCAAGATTTGGAGACCATTTGTGTAGAAGAATCACACTGAGCAAAAATCACACCTGAGCAATGCATGCGGCTAGTTTCTCCATACAGGAGGTGTGTGGTCCCCAAAGAATTCCCTTAACTAGCAGGGATTTCCTCACACTTCCTGTTTGGCTATGGAACAGGAAGTGATATAAATCTCTGCAATGGGATATAGATGGCGGAAAAAAAAAACAGAGCTAGCCCAGGTGAGGACGGTGCTCGATCCTTGTCCACTTATTAAAAGTCAGCAGTTACAGAATTTGTAGCTGCTGATTTTTATTTTTTTTTTTTTTTTTACAGACGGAACCTTCTCTACACCACAATACTGTTCAATTAACCAAATTATTGTGCAGATCTTGCTAAAATGTTTTAGTATTCATGACAAAAATGTAATCACATGGGATTTATATGTTGGTATCTATGGCTGGGCCTTGTCAATGGAGTACTGTATAGGAATCAGTTTATAATAAATACACAGGTTAAAAACAAACAGTTTCAAAAAATAAAAAATATAATAATACTAATACACCATATTGCCAAAAGTATTGTGATGCCTGCCTTTACACGCACATGAACTTTAATGGCATCCCAGTCTTGGTCCAGGGTCCAATTTTGAGTTGGCCCACCCTTTGCAGCTATAACAGCTTCAACTCTTCTGGGAAGGCTGTCCACAAGGTTTAGGAGTGTGTCTATGGGAATGTTTGACCATTCTTCCGGAATTGCATTTGTGAGGTCAGGCACTGATGTCTGACGCATTTATGAGGTCAGGCACTGATGTCTGACGCATTTGTGAGGTCAGGCACTGATGTCTGACGAGAAGGCCTGGCTCGCAGTCTCCGCTCTTATTCATCCCAAAGGTGATCTATCGGGTTGAGGTCAGGACTCTGTGCAGGCCAGTCAAGTTCCTCCACCCCAAACTCACTCATCCATGTCTTTATGGACCTTGCTTTGTGCACTGATACGCAGTCATGTTTGAACAGGAAGGGGCCATCCCCAAACTATTCCCACAAGGTTGGGAGCATAAAATTGTCCAAAATGTCTTGGTATGCTGACGCCTTAAGTAACTAAGAGACCAAGCCCAACCCCTGAAAAACAACCCCACACCATAATCCCCCTCCACCAAACTTTACACTTGACACAATGCATTCTCCTGGCAACGGCCAAACCCAGTCACATCTATCGGATTGCCAGACAGATAGATCGGTGTGATCATATGCTTTCCCAATTTAAAAATGGTGCTGTTTACATCTGGGAAAACCAGAAGTGACAAAGTACTAGTTGCTTCCGATTTCCTATACCATAGAGCTGATCAGGCTCTACGGGAAGCCATCAGGAGGATGGAGAGCCCAGAGAATTACCGATGGGCAGCGAGGGGGGGGGCAACCAAGGGGGGGGGGCATCCCCAACCTGTAAAAGCAATCCAGCACTAGGATGGCTTTTACAAAAAAGCTAATCGCCTCCTGAAAAATATAATACCGGGATGATGCCTCTAGCTGCAAGCATCATCCTGCTATAATCACCATATATTTACTTACTGCGATATTCAAGTGGTTTTAACTGAACTTCAGATTTATACTTCTTTAACCGCCTCCCACCCCCCATATAGTACGACGGGCACAAGGCGGTCCTCTCATTGTGGGAGGACGTCATAAGACGCCCTCCCATTCTAACCGCGCATGCGCGGCTCTGGGAGTGCGCATGCGCAGACACAGCGGATCACCGATCAATGGAAAGAGCCGAAGATGTCGGCTCGGTCATGTGATCAGCTGTGTCCAATCACAGCTGATCGCATGTAAATACGGAAATGCCGGTTATCAGCATTTCTCTCCTCATGAGCTGTCACGCTGACAGCTCAAGAGGAGAGGAGAGCCAGTAATCGGCATCCCTCAGAGGAGACATGTACACTGATCATCAGGGCACTGATGATCAGTGTGCCCTGATTATCTGTGTAGCCCCAGCAGTGCCACCTGTCTGTGTGCATCAGTGCCAGCTGTCAGTGCTCATCTATGCCACCTGCCAGTGCCCATCAGTGCCACATTTCAGTGCCTACCAGGGCACGTCAATGTTACATATCAGTGCCCAGCTGAGCTGCCTTTCAGTGTCACCCATCAGTGCCAGTCAGTGCCACCTATCAATGCCAGTCAGTGTCACCTATCAGTGCTGCCAATCAGTGCCACCTATCAGTGCCAGTCAATGCCGCCTGTCAGTGCCGCCTATCAGTGCGCATCAGTGCTGCCTATCAGTGCCCGTCAGTGCTGTCTATCAGTGCTGCCTATTAATGCCAGTCAGTGCCACCTATCAGTGCTGCCAGTCAGTGCCACCTATCAGTGCCAGTCAGTGCCGCCTATCAGTGCCTGTCAATGCTGTCTATCAGTGCCGCCTAACAGTGCCAGTCAGTGCCACCTAACAGTGCCAGTCAGTGTCGCCAATTAGTGCCAGTCAGTGCTGCCTATCAGTGCCACCTATCAGTGCTGCCTATCAGTGCCATATATGAGTGCTGCCTTTCAGTGCCCATCAGTGATGCCTGTCAATTCCCATCAGTGCCACCTACCAGTGACTCCTCATCAGTGCCCATCAGTGCCACCTATCAGTGTCCATCAGTGCCCATCACTGCAGCCTCATTAGCACACATCAGTGAAGTAGAAAAATCCCTTATTTACAAAATTTTATAACAAAAACTAAGAAAAAACTTTTTTTTTTTCAAAATTTTCAGTGGTTTTTGGTTTGTTTAAGAAAAAATTAAAAACCCAAAGGTGATTAAATACCACCAAAATAAAGCTCTATCTGTCACAAAAAAATGATAAAAATTTCATATGGGTACAGTGTTGCATGACTGCGCAATTGTCATTCAAAATGCAACAGCGCTGAAAGCTGGAAATTGGCCTGGGCAGGAAGGGGGTATAAGTGCCCTGTAGGCTAGTGGTTGAATGCTTTTTTAATGTAAGAAGTACCTGCATTTGGCTTGGCCTTGGCCTCTTTTAGTTTACAGTACAGTCAAGCTTAGAGAGAGGGGGAGGGGGAGGTAGAAGCCAATTAGGTGTACTGGGATGTGAGAAGCATGCTAATAGGAGGAGAAAACAAAGTGATTAACATATCAGTGTGCTGCATTTCTTTCACTGTCCACTTACAAGATGGGGGAGAGCCTACACCCCTTATTGATGTGGAGATCAGCAGTAAGGGTCACTGAGGACCAAAGAGAGCAATTCTGCTGGCATGGCAGTTTCCCAGAAGATATGTTCTTGGGATATTACTTAAACAGAGATTTTGGGGTAAACGTTTATTTACTGACATAAACCAGTTTATTACAAAAGCAGCCTTGAAATGTGTACAGAGAACATCGCCTATACCTTTAGTGCTTTTGCTTTTGTCAAGGTATAATTGTTGTGCAGTAGGCAACCTTGCTAAATAAAATATACTGTTTGTCAGAATCACTGTTTTCTAGGAACTCTATTGTTCGAGTGCATGAAAATACAGGCCAAGTGTTCGCAATGTCACAGAGGGCGAGTGGATGTGGCATGATGATCTAGCAGCAGAAAGATTCAATATATTATATTCAATTCAAAAGGAAAATCAAATGAAGACACAGTTTCTCAAAGGATAAATCCACCTTTAGGAACATTTTACATGTTCCACCTGTTTTTAGGGTGGAACATGTAACATGTTCCTGATTCTAGTGAAAAGTATACATTATGACACTGCTCCAAGCTGTGGATGGAAGGAAAAAGATAACCCCACTCAGGGGCGGACTGACTATTTGGAAACCCGGGCACTGCTCGAGGGCCGGGGGTCAGTAGGGGGAGCCATGAGATGCCCCTGGTACCTTTTTCATAGGCGGGAAGTGGTTAAAGCATATTTTGTGTGTGGTGAAGGTATAATGGATGAGTATAAAATGAATAGACTTAAGTTTTACTTAACCATAGCCCTTTAAGCCCCTCCCACTGTTAACCTAATTAGGCCACACCCAGCATTTGCATCTGCCAGAAATAGGTGAATAGTATTGCACATTTCCCCTCAATGGTTAGCACATAATAATGTATGAGGTGCAGATAAATGAAAAAATTCAACCCGGACAATAAACAAAGTTACAATAACTAACAAAGTAACCAGGGGTAGACTGACCATTTGGAAACTCGAGCACTGCCCGAGGGCCCGGGGTCAGTAGGGGGCCCCATGAGATGCCCCTGGTACCTTTTTCATAGGCTTTTTTGAGTGTGGGCAAGGACACAGGGGCCCCATGATCCCCTATTGCCTGGGGGCCCCATGAGTTGTCAGTCCGCCCCTGACCCCACTGACAAGTGAGAAGAGGGGAGCATGAGTCCGAGACATTCCAGTGTCGGCCAATACAAGTAAAGTGATGGACTCAACTGACCCCAGGAGTCCAATGTTGAGGAATGGCCTCAGTTGCCGTTCCGGCCACGCCCTCTGACATGTTTCACCCCGCCGACTGGGACTTGGTCACCAAATGCGTCAGAAGGCATGACCAACCCTCAACATTGGACTTCTGGCATCGGTTGAGCAGCGTCCATCCCTTCACATGTTCCTGATTCTGCGGGCCGCCACCTGATCCCCCCCCCCCCCCTTGTGACAGCAATACGGGAAGAAGTTCCCTGTATTAGTTGTCACTTTTAAAAATTGCATGGCTCTGCCCACATGGCCGTGTCCTTCACTCACAGAAGGGAAAGTAAAGAAAAGCTGCAAGGTTTTTATTGTTTTGTCAAAAGGTCCATCATCCCTGTAGATATGCATACTCCTGATGTCTGCAGCAAACTGGTACATATAAAGCTTCTTTTATATTAGCAGCCATCTTGTTTATGCCAGCACAGCTCTCAGAGAACAGCAGGACCAAGGGAAAGGTAAAAGGTTATATTTATAAACTTTCTTAATTTGTCTGGATATGTTAAAGTACACCTAATCCTAAAACTTTTACCATTTTACATATTCCTCATACAGTTCAATGTGTTAGTTATCAGAGACACTTGACGTCGTGTGATCTTTTTTTCCCTTATTTATAGCTAATTTTATTATTTTTAATTTTATTGATATATATGTGTTGCTTTCTACACTTTCAAAGTGAAGGTTTCTTAGGCACTACTATTTGGAAACATGAGTGTGTCTCATATTGACTTATTTTGCAGGCTGTTCAATCATTACCTGTTTTAAATCTTCCCTCTCAACAGAAACCCTGCTGGCTTGTCTAACAGCAGGGAAGGCAAAATCTTACAAGAAGAGATGGACCCTGTTCCATGGTCTCGGCTGGGTGCCTACTGACTTGGTTTGCTTTCCAAAAACATACTACTCATTGCATATCATTTGGCAGAGTCAACCTAAGGAGCTTTAAACAGCTCCCTCCAATGACTGTATATCTATTGAAATATATATATACACACACACACTATGCGCAGTGTTAATCACACTGTTTTGTGTGCAAGACAATAAAATGAAAGTATAAAAATGGTCATTGGTGAGCACTTGCACCATGAATTTGGTCTGTGAAAAATGCATGGTAAGGTAAAATGGAACTGCTTTGTCATGAGAGTCCTACATGTTACCAAAAAAGCATTGAGATAATACCGCTATTATTATAGAGATGGTAATTACAGTTACTTTCAGGGATGGACTGACAACAAATCAAATTCCTTGCCAATACAAAAATGTATTCTGCTACATGTCTTTGCTAAAATAATCCCAATACATGTAAATTCATTGGTTTTACGTGAAAGTTATAGAGTCTACAAATGGCGGTATATATACTGGAAATTTTTATTTATTTATTTTTTTATACTAGTAATGGCGGCTATCAGTGACTTATAGTGGTACTGCGGCAGGCATTCTGACACTGGAAGGGCACTGACTAACTGCCACTGACATCCCCAGTGACACTAATACAGTGATCAGTGCTAATAAAAAGCACTGACACTGTACTAATGACAATGGGCAGGAAGGGGTTAACATCTGGGATGATCAAAGGCTTAAATGTGTGCTGTGTGTGATTTACTAGGGAAAAATACTACTGTGTATTTTTCTGCTGTTCAGAGAAATACACAGCAGCATGTTACTGCTGGCAAGAGAGAGACCTGTGTTGTTTACTCACAGGTCTCTCCACTGTCAGTGATACTTGGTGATCGCCGGGTGCCGGTGGAGATTCTCCGGCCAGGACCTGGTGATTGACATCTGTAGCTGCCAATGGCAGTGCGGGTAGGCCGGCGCGAGCGCACCCCCTACCCGGAAATGCAAAATCACGTGTATATATACCTGCTTTTGCGCAGCCTTGCCACCCTGTAGCAGTACTTCTACAATAGGGTGGTCGGCAAATGGTTACACAAAAGCCCACTTATTGGCCTGTTTGATCATCCTTTGATGAAAGGACATGATGGCAAGTTATCCCTGACCAGCCACTTGATCTGTCAGAATACAGAGAGGGAAATTTATTAAGACTGAAGCAGCCAGAATCTGGAGCAGGTGTGCATTGCAATCAATCAGCTTCTGACTTTAATTTTCAAAGCCTAACGCAGGCCATAGACGGGTCGAACATCAGCCAATTTTTCGAACGATAAACGAAAAATCAGTCGTTCGTTCGGCGTTATCACCAACGAATAAAAAAATTGTCCGACTAAATCATAAAGTTCACCCCATAACTTCTGTCCCTTTCAGGTCACAGCTCATGCGCAGATTTTTTATTGTTAAAACAATCGTCTGATTTGGCCATCATTTCCGGGAAAATCGGCCAATCGTCCAAATTGGCCGCAAATTTCCCAACATAACCAATAATCTGAAAGTGAAAAAATAAACGAAAAACGTCCGAAGAACTAATCCATTAACGGTACAAAAATCGGCCGATTTTTCTTTCGGCTGAAAAATTTGGACGATTAACGACCCATCTATGGCCTGCATAAGGCTGGCCATACATTATACAATTTTCTTGAGAATTTTGCTTTATATTTACCAAAAAAGATATAATATGAGGTCAAACTTAAACAAAACTTTCAATTGTATCCAATAAGGCGAGCCCTTGCACTACATAGTTGAAGGTAAATCTAAAGGAAACTGGGCAGAAAATTGTAAGAAAATGGTATAGTGTATGGCCACTAAAAAATACCGTTTTTAAACGCATATTGTTAGAACAGGTTAATTTGGTTGTTGGCTGGCAAATTGAACTGGCTTTCTTTTCCCCCTCTTTGTAAGTTATACCTATTCATGTTCCTAGTGTTATAGCCATTGTTAGACTAGGGCTGGCTTAGAAGTTGAACTGGGTAGCCATGGTAGTTTATATTTAATGCCCGTCCATGGTCACTGCTGTAAAAGTCAGTTATAGAAAAGGGAGGTGACCCACTTCTTTCACACCATGTAATGGAGGTCTATGGGTGTACTGGATACACTGGCTGCCATTGTGCTGTATGCTGGATGTCCTTTCTTCTCCTGTACCTTTAATGGGGGTGGGCTCCCTCGGATCAGCTGCCCTCGAGCTATCCATTAATACATGTGCCTCTACTATGAGGGCTCCAAATTTGTAGAGTTAGGACCACAGAATACCAGGGTGCCGTGATGTGGTGCACGTATGTATTTGCAAATGTGTGCTAACTAAACCCCTGTTTTTAAACGCATATTCTTAGAACAGGTTAATTTGGTTGTTGGCTGGCAAACTGAACTGGCTTTCTTATCCCCCTCTTTGATAAGTTCTACCTATCCATGTTCCTTGTGTTACAGCCATTGTTAGACTGGGGCTGGCTTACAAGTTGAACTGGGTAGCCGAAGTAGTTTATATAGTGTATGGTCAGCCTAACTGAACAAAGTGAAGATAAAAGCTGATTAGTTGCCATACACAGCTACTCCAGATTTTGTTTGCTTCAGTTTTGATAGCTGTGACCGTAATAAAACTGTTTTGCAGAATGATTGTGGCATAAATAGGGGCAGCACAGTGGCTAAAAGGTTAGTACTTCCGCCTGGCAGCACTAGGGTCGTTGGTTTGAATCCCAACACACGGCACCACCTGCCTGGAGTTTGCATGTTCTCCCTGTGCTGTGTGGGTTTCCTCCAGGTACTCCGGTTTCCTCCCACACTCCAAAGACTTACTGGTAGGTGAATTGGCTCCTGTCTAAATTGGCCCTAGTATGTGTATGTATGAATGTGAGTTAGGGACCTTAGATTGTACGCCCCTTGAGGGTTAGGGACTGATGTGAATGTACAATATATATGTAAAGCGCTGCGCAGTGGCGGGCTGACAACTCATGGAGCCCCTGGGCAATAGGGGATCATGGGGCCCCAGTGTCCTTGCCCAAGCTCAAAAAAGCCTATGTAAAAGGTACCAGGGGCATCTCATGGGGCCCCCTACTGACCCCGGGCCCTTGGGCAGTGCCCGAGTTTCCAAATAGTCAGTCTGCCCCTGGCGCTGCATAAATTGACCTGAAATAAAATAATAAAAAAAAAATGTGATTGTTTCAGCAGAGAGTGCACATATATCAAGGAATCAATAGCAATCATCATAGAAAATCTCTATCAGACTATCCATCCTAGCATTCTAGAGTGTTCATAAACCTACAATAATTTCTCAATGTGATCTTTGTTGGTTGAATCGGGCACCATTCCTACTCTCAGATCTATATCTAACCTTCATCCACCATCAGCATACATTTGGAACATTTAGAAGACATTTGACAAGCTGACATGACTTCCAGATTGTGAACATGATCTTCATTATAACACCCCGGTCACATCAAAGCCGATTTTGAAAGCGTGCGACTTATTGTGAAGTCACACAATTTCAAAAGTCAGGTGACTTGCTGATTTTAGGTGCGATTTGCAAGGCATCTGACACAGATGTCTATACAAATTTCACCAAAAGTAGTGCATGTATTACCTTAGGCTCTGACCAAGATGGAACTGCACTGACATGACTGCTCTAATAGCGGACAATAGTGTGCGACTTGGCATACGATTTACAAGTTGCATGGCATGCACATCGCATGCCAAGTTGCACCCGATGTGACCAGGGTGTTGTTGACAGTGCGGGAAACTTTCAATAGTGTAGACCAGGGTTTCTCAACTTTGGTTTTGTGGAACCTTAGGGTACCTCCAGGTTGCTAGGGGTTCCTTGAGCTGGAAGTGATTTCTGCTTCTCAGATGAGTGTCAGATACCTATGATCTTTTTAGCTATCTGGAAGGAAGAATTCTTCCCAATAACCACAAATGTACTGTAAGCAGCACTCTTCCCACTGACCATCACACTACTGTACTGTGGGCTGTAAATACAGAATTATTTGCAGGGGT